AGGGAGAGAGAGAAAGAGTGGGAGAGAAAGAGAGACATCTATAAATACAAGTGTACAGGGCATTCATGCTAATAAAAGAAAAAAAAATGAAAAACGTTTAAAAAAAAGAGAGAAAGAGCGAGCGAGAGAGAGAGATAAAAAGAAACGAACAAATGTGTGAGGGGTGAGAGACTTCCGTTTTCCTCCTTCGAATTGTTTCTTCGTGGCGAACGTTGCGTGCTGTAGAGGCGAAATTTAATTTCCCTCGAGAGCGTTTGATTAAGTAATACGTTTACCTCGGCGGAAGTCCAGACTGTTCGATTGTAAAATAATAATTGCGAAGTTCGTATCTGGGAACGGTACAAGATGGACGATGCACGGATGAAGGATGTTTTCATTGGACATAGGTTTCCGTATTTTGTCGGCGAGCGTCTTAGACCGGCTTCTAAGGATAATTGCGGGCAGACGGATACACGCGGAAGAAACTAGTCCACCGGCGCGAGTAAGATTGAATTAATTGCTGCGCCGTTAAACGAAGCTTCCGTGGGACTATCATCGACGGTTTCGTTTCCCTTCTCGGAACGAACGGAATTGTTTGCCGGGCTCCCTTCCCTTCGGTCGTCCGAGAGACACCGGGGAGAAGCGCTCGATGGGGATTATTAACGGAGATACCAACGAATTCGTTCATTATGCTTCGGGATAATGATACTTCGGTGGATCGAGGATTTTTCGAATGTTGGGAGTTTGTCGGGAAGTGGAAGTATGAGGAAATTTTCGTTTGGGCTTTCTTGGACCACCCTTTAACGAGTATTTTATTGTTCCGTTGGAATAAGCGTTTCGTAGTTCGAAAGGAATAGTTGTATACGAGAAACTTGTTATAATAGAAGTCTATTGGTGCTTCGTTGCTTTGTTTCGTTTGAAATTGTATAAAATTTATCGTGTAAAAAGGTTTTCGTCGGTTCACTTTGGTGTAAGATGTATTTCGCAGGGTTCGACGAAGCATTGGAAGTTGAATTTTTATTGTAATGATTTCTTGTTGTGTCTACCGTGGTTTTAGAATCATTGTGATTTTTAAATCGGAGGTACCGGTATTAATTTCGAAGGGTGCTTTTACTACGGAGGATTGAAAATAATGAGAACGAAAGTTGTCTGATGCTTCTAAAGTCTCTTTCAAACTTTTAATGTTTAAGGAAAATTGGAATTTTCGAGTGACGAAAGTTTCCTCGTGAGACTTCTGCAACGGGTGTCGCTTAAAACCGCTGGCACTCTAATACTCGCAAGATTTCTGTTCGCGGATTGATTTCATTATGTAGTTTAGGTTAAAATAATGTATACTTGAATACGTAAACGCGTATTTTTATGTAATATATAACAATTGCAAGCTACAAGTTTTATTTGTAAAAAATAAATTAAATATATTATTCCTATCGTTTAATAATACATTGTATTATACTTTCATTTCCGTTGACCGCTTTTACCGTTTCACTGTAACTTCTGTCATTTTTAATAAAGATACTTTAGAAAACAAGTGCAGAGGATGGAAATATTTTACAATAACAAGAACTAGCGTATCTAACATTAATCTGACTTCGACTAATACTGAAACCTAACATTAGTTTTTAACCAAATCTTACATTAAACGAATTATGGGAATTTCAACGTTTCCACTTTGACGACAGTAAAGTAACAACTAACAATTTAAACAGAGTCTACTATTCCCTTAATTATTACTCCTCTAACAATCTACACGATTCTTAGTTATTAAATTTTGCTTCGTCATCTTCAAACACAATTTCACTTTGGAGAAATAAACCTTTTCTTACGATTGTTATATATTACATGGAAATATCATAATACATTTACAATTCATTAATGCATTGAATTCTATCGAAGCCGCATGAACTCTTTCGATTATCTAATACAACCAATCAGGCACGTGGAATCTCGTGCCACCTTGATGAATTTCGTGCCTTTTGATCTCGCCTCATTTAATTGCCTCCCTATTGCCACTGTTAATACAACCAGCGTCTCGTATCACGTCACCTCTGCATCCGTCGAGGGTTCATCCGTATGTGGGATCAAGAAATTCCTGCAGTACGGAGCACGGGGTGAAATTTCAGCCACGATAGCGTTAACGTGATTTCCTTTGATGGCTTTCAGGGGTCAAGAATCGGGACTTTAACGGAACTCGATCTAAACGTCAAGTTTCACTGGCCAGAAAGCATCGAGCTATCTCGAAAACGAAAATACATGTAGCTGGAAGTTGAAAGTAGTAACTGAAAATTGTGTAGAAAGTTCAAAATTAACATTCTGTCTGTTGGTCACGAATTAATGCATCATTAACTCATTATTCGATGAAATAATTCAACTATTTGCATTTTTAGGCAGCCCTCGATTCTAACCTAAATCTCAAAGTCTCCAATATGGCGTCCCCGAAGGGTTAACCCATAAAATTTCCATATTTAGAAAAGTAAGTCGCGAACGAACTCTCTATTATTTAAGCAGTCGATATATAATTTAACTTCATCTGCCGAAGGTTTCGTACATTTCGAAGAATCTTCGTCCGCGAATGGTTAATCCTGATTATTTCAAAGTTTCCATAGCCAGAAATCGTCCCGTGAATAATACGATTCTTTAATAGAGGGAAATTTTAGAGATCGTTGTATAGCTGTTGCGTCGCTTTTTCCAGTTTTTGTTTTACGGAGTCCATCGATTTGGCAAGTGAGCCTGGATCGACGGTCGCGCGTTTTAAGGTCCGATGAATTATGCAGCCGGTGTTCGTCGGTGCGTCGCCAGGGGCCAATTTACCGCAACTTAGCCGCAATTGTCAGAATCCCGAGTGTTGTGATTCCGAGACGTTTTGTCGGTGGAATTTGCGTGACATTGAGACGGGAGTCCGCGCGTGGGTTGTCCAACGACGTTTGATCATTTGTCCTTCGAGGCGAAGGCAAATGTGCCAAGCGGACACGTCCACTCGCGATGGACGTTGACGCCTCGGTTTCGGCCATTGTTGTCGTTGGCTGATTCGCGTGAACGAAGATCGCGTATGCGACAGAATACGACAGAGTGAGATGGAATAATGAGTGAATACTATATGCAATTCATGAATATTATAAGTACCAAATGGTCAAAAAGAGTCTCTCGCCAGAGCGCTTGGTTTATGGTATCGAAAATGAGATGAGAAAATTGTTTCTTTCATTATTTAGGTCTTATTTCTATCTCACTTCGTATTGTGTTTCTTTTGTATTCGAAGTTCGACTAAGAAAAATAGAAAATAGGGATAATGAACGTGGGCAATGTCTTATTTGAATCGCTACGATTTATTTTTCAACTATGATTGACACAGCTGCTTTGCCACTAATAATTCATTGAAAAGAGAGAAATTGTAGGTATATTCTATGCCTATATTTGCTTTAGACTATAATAATTGATAACAAAAGGATAATATTTTATTTGTATTTGCAATAATTGAATAATATTTATATTTGTTAAGTTCTGTTTAAAACCTTCACCACGAGTCTCACACGTTATTACAAGGCAAGGGGTTAAGTCCAGAAAACAGAGATTGAGAAAATCAATATTTCAATACACGATCGTTATAAACATATTCGGAAGCTGCGAACAAAGAAGAAAACCAAGAAAACGAGTGAATCCTTTAACAACTGAGAAGAGTATTATCTATTCCATCAAAACTGACGAAAACCAGAAAGGATCAAAGACCCGACTTAAAGGGTAACGCCGCTCTAGAATTTTAAAATTTTGAACTTTTTTTCGCTTAAACGATACCTTATTATATGAAGAATGTAGGAGAAAAGTTTCGAGTGGAGGAAAAATTGGGAACAATTTTTTTCGAGATGGAGTGCAACTCGCAGTTATAGATACGTTTATTGTAACTTGACTCATTTCCGTCTTACCTCGTCGTGTTCGGTTTCATTCGCGATCCCTATTCACGCGAATCGGCCAACAACGAAACCAAGATGTCAGCGTTCATTGCGTTTGGCAGTATCCCCTCGCGGCACTTGTCCGTTCGGTTCGATGGAGAAGTCAGCGGACGTCGTTGGAGGACAGTAGGTCGTCCTTAAAGCGAGCGCCGCGTGTTGTCCTCGACACCGAGCGGGGTTCCGTGACCCCTTTGATCGCGGAGATATTAATTTATGTCCCTTTTAATGGCACACGCCTCCCGTATAATTTACAGAGTTCCCGTCGCGCCGCGGCGCGCCGCGAGCGAGCAGAAAGGGAAACGAAAAACACGAAATGAGAAGAACAAAAAAGGAAAAGGAAGCGGCCTTTAAGTTGAACTCCGCCGATTTTAACTCGGTCTCCTCGTTTGAAGCGTCGTTAACGGCGATTATTTTATTTATACTCTATGCCGCGGTGTACCCCTTTTCTCCATTTGCCACGCGCGTTCAGCGAAATCCACGATGGCTGCAGCCGATACGTTCAAACAACGCGCTCGTGTGTCGAAATTAAAAGAAACGGAGGGTATAAAGAAGACATGAAAGGGAATACTTGTACCATGATTCATTTCTTAACACTAGAACTACCGGATAAGTCAAAATGACCCATTCCATGGTTTTTTCTTTCCTGATTACTGAAACGGCACGCCTCTTTGAGAAACTGAAGATGCTGATTAAGTATCTGAAATTTAAAGCCGTTCGAATCTTAACAAATCCACCTTTGCAGTTTTTATAAAGAAATCGTCAAGTTTAAGTGCTCGGTAGTTCTAGTGTTCTACGATCGATACAACTACTTTGTCGTTAATGATTTGTTAAGAAAAGAAATTCTGATGCTTGTTCTATCTTCGTTTGCTCGAAATGGTAACAATAGATTAATGTTTAATTTCGATTTTAAATGGACGAACACTTGGATTCGTTAAGTTCAAATTTTCATCAAGACTCTGAATATTGTAGGTGAACGGGTTAAGCGATCGTGATCGTTTCCCGGTTTATCGTTCGATCTACCGGTCTCGCGTGTATAGAAAAATCGGCGTCACCGGTGAAATGAACTTTCTGGATAACGGCTCGGTCCAGAGGAATTAAAGAAACGATGCGACACTGAATGGACTTATTGTGCCCGCTTCAATTGGCTCGTTGAACGTTGAATAGCCCTACGATGGCGAATTTAATTAAAGCGATACACATTACTGGCCGTGGTAAGCTTCCACGGCCGACAGCTGCGCCGCACAATGTATGAGGAGCAGAAACGTCGGCGGGGCAAAAAAAAGAAAAAAGTCCACGGAATCCGTACTTAATACTCAATTTGTCGTGCGCCAATTAGGGTGGCAACGGTGTTGCGGTCCCCGTCGAGTTGCGCTGCCGCTGGGACCGCGTAAATCGCGCGAATTTAAAGGGCTAATTCAATGTTTCTCGTGTTACGTTAATAATCTCTATGCCGCGACGGATAAGTGTCGCACGTGCAGCTGAAACGCGTTTGCTTTGCTCCTCGAAAATGCTTGATCGCCGCCGGCTTCCATGATTCCAGCGAAACGGGGATGGAGGACCGTGAGAATCACAACGCGATCGGTTGGATTATATTGACGGAGGAATTCTGTTCGCCTTTGATCTCTGAGAAATCCGTGAAGTTCGATGGTTTCGATTGTTTAATGCTGGAACTACCGAGTGTTTAATATGATTAATACTTATGGAAATTGTATGACTTTCGATTTCTTCGTATATTTGTTGCTATTTCTCGAGTTAAAAGAAAATAATGCTAATAATACTAATAAGAAAGTAATAATAATAATGTATTTTCGGTATATTTATTAATATTTATCGAATGATATAAATTCCTTCGTTAGTAATTCGTGGAATCCGTTTCTAGAGGACTTATATTTAGAAACTTGAGATGACGTCAGACAGAACTTTCCGGTGGATTTGTGTTTTTCAAATCATTTCGAGTATTTCACGCTTTCGAAGTATTAATAATGGCGAAGTAAGAGAACCGAGACCCGCCATTTTGTCGGGAGCGGTAGTTCCAGTGTCGAATCGTGCGATTGATTTATATTGATTTATATTGTCAATAATTCGTTCGACGTATTGGATCACAGAAATTCTCTCTTCCATGTTTGCTCGTATGAACAATCTTTCAGTTATTCGACCGTCAGAGTTTGATCATTTGAATTATCGTTTAAATAACAGGCGCAATTCTATTTGAAAACATTCGCAGAGGTACAACGAAAATTGTACATGAATCATTCACCGAGCGCGATTGTTTAATTTATTGCATATCAAATGTGTCTTTTTCAATTTGTAAACAAAGCCGAATCCGTAATTTGTTGCTCTTGGTTCTTGTCGTTCTGCTGTCGCGAAAAATCAGTCGTATTTTCTACCACCTGTTGACGAACATTCTATATAGAATAATACCCAACGGAAAGTAATATCAGCTCGTTCGTTTGGAAGGCGAAAACCTATAAAAGTGAACGTAAAATGTAGAATATACTTTGTTTATCTGAAGGTTATTTTTAAACTTTATCGCCCGAGCTTCTATTTCATTCTTTTTAACTACTTTCGTACATAAACTCGCTTTCCATTTATAAAAAACCTCGATCACTCAATCATACCGCGTTTGACTTTAATCCAGCGAGTGCTGGCAGCTTTATCGATCATCGAACAAATGAAATATTTTCGATATATATTCGCGAACAACATAAAGAAAACTTTTTTCAACGAACTTCGAACGCGTTTGAATTTTACTGAATGGAAGTAAAAACGAGAGCTGATTCGAGAGGAAGAAACACACGAAACTGTGGTCGGTATAAGGTGATTTATGTTTAAACGCGCGGACATATTTAGTCCGTGGTGAACGACGATGAGACACAAGTTCACTCGAAATGGAGATTTAATTAATAGGAAGGAATACTCGCGGCGCGGCGGCCGTTCGAGAAAATATTCCAGCCGAGAGCTGAGAAGTGGCCACATCCTCGTTTTAACGAACAAACGGTCAATTGATTCGAGTTGTTACTGTTTAACCCTTTGTGTTTTAATAACGGATCCTAATAACTAGTCGAGTCACGACGTTAAATAGCCGCGCGATGAAACAAAGAGATTTTTGCTCCTCGATTTCCACTTGTCGCGTTTAATTGTTCGTTCATTATTTCGTATTCAAATGTTACAGCTTCATCGTCGTTCTCTCTACGAGAAGAAAGGATTATCTATTGCAAAGTTGAGGGAATTATAGCATTAATTAGATTCATGTATACTGTTTTTTAATTATGTTCAATTCACAATTCTTTCATTTATCGATTATAAATATTGGACAGTCGATATGACGTACTTTATTTTACAATGAAGTAGGACTGTTATTTCTTGTGATTTTTTAGGTATAAACATGGTTAAAAATAATGGTTCCCTTATAAATATATATTTATGAAATTCGAAATAAAAGAGCACTACTCTTTGAAAATTAATTTGCGTCGAGTAATTAAGCTATGTGAATAATTAAATGATTTTAGTGTAATCGTAGTATCTAAAAATTGCCATTAATATATGCGATACATTGTATTCTTTTAACTTTCACATTCTGTTCGTTGCATTCGTACGTAACATATTTTTGCACGCGTAACGTACATTTATGTATCGAACTTCATAATTATACTTTTATATATAATTATATATAATTATATAAAATTAAATACATATGAGTACATATATTAGTAAAAACATAATTATTCATATTCGTGTATATTTCTACACGACTCGTGGCCTAACAAATTGAAATAAAATACTTATACGTACTTTTATTTGAATTGTTTATATAAAAATGTAAAAATTAATACCTTACATTAAAATAGTTTTTATTTTAGAAGATTTATTTCCTTAAACATTCAGATGTTAACGATAGATATGATGGTTATCGTTTCTGTTCAATTTCGAAACAACGAATCACGATTTAAACCTGAATAAACGAAAATATATAATTGCAAAAGATGCCTATATAGGATTCGAAGACCAGATTTGAGAAAGGACAACATTCTGAAAAATAAGGAAACAAGTCTTGGTAAACTCCTCTAACAAAAATGGCAATGCTCCTAGAAAAGGAGATGTTCAGAGCCATATTTGTCCAAATCAATTTATTTTGCAACGATGACCCGTACTGTACGTTGTTAGCACAGTTTCAGTTGCCTTAAATGATTGATTGAATTTAGCGAATACCTTATAAAGTTGAATATAATGTTTCACTTCCATCGATTTGTACGAAGACGAACATAATAGGCAATGTTTAATTAAAATGTGTAAATAATAGAATTGATGTTTGGTCAAATAATTGATTTAAAATAAAGAACTAACTTTTACGAAAAGGTCAAATAATCACTGGAAACATCAGTAACATTTAGCACAATAAGGACAGGTGAAATTCGCCATGGTGCTAAGTGACATCGTTTAGCAGACACGTTCAAACTCGTAGCAATAATTATCCTAAAATTCTCAATCTTCCTCAAACTAAAAAAATTCTCAATAATTTAAAACAAGCAAATTTCTCTGAACAACAACAATTATCCCAAGATCTCAAAAAAGAACCCCATGGCGATACATTCTCAATCTTCCTCAAACTAAAAAAATTCTCAATAATTTAAAACAAGCAAATTTCTCTGAACAACAATTATCCCAAGATCTCAAAAAAGAATTCCATGACAATATTCTCAATCTTCCTCAAACCCAAAAAATTCTCAATAATTAAAGAACACCAAATTTCTCTGAACACCAACAATTATCCCAAGCTCTTAGAAAAGAATCCCATAGCGATGCATTCTCGATAGTTTGAAAAAAGCAAAATTTCTCCGAACAACAATTATCTCAAGATCCGATGCCGAAAACTAAGTTTCCCGATCATCCGAACAAAGCAGAAATATCCCGTTCGTTTCTCCCGTAACGACGCGTGATCGCCGTGTAACTCGCGAGCGCATCGAAGACAATCGACGGTATCGGGAATAATGCGAGCGGGGAAAAGTTTCCCCGTTTCGTAGCCGACGGAGCTTCCGCCCGACGGATTTGGCAGAAGCTTGTTTCTCCCGCGAGCATTTATACGCGCGGACAAATAAACCGCGGAACGAGACGCGCGGTCTGGACTTTCTCCGCGAGCGTTGCGTTGAGCGCGATGAAGAGGAAACTGAAGGGAGGAAACAGGGGACAATGTATATGAACAAAGTAAGAGTGAGAATGAAAGTGAAACAGAAAGCACTGACGGAGCCTGTACATAGTGAATGCGTGCTGTATTTATATATTATACACACAAAGATGATGAAACACAGACACACACAAACACATATATATATATAAATATATAAATATAGATATATACAGTAAACTCTTGTATCGCTCGGTTAATGCGTCACGTGTTGTATAATTTCACGTTATAAGGAAGTCATGCTGCATGAGATTGTTCTCGTGTAATAGGAACAATAAAAATTAACGTGTTCCAAACGATTAGTCTGTTAACTGTGGAATTTAGTTTGAAAAAACTCTCGTTTTGCTCGCGATAAAATGGAAAATGGTGTGCACTCGTCAAACGCAGGACGAATGCAGTTAGCAAGCGAAACAAGAGTTACATATTTATCTAGAAAAATAGATACTCGTCAAACGCAGTTATTAACTGGTTATTACCACGCCAACTAATTTTGTTTCACGAGAAATAAATAATTAGGGGACAGGAGAAATCGGTAAATAATAGCGAAGGAACGATGTAGTGCTTACAATCTTATTTTTACGTATCGCGTTGTTCAAGGAGTGGCGTTAGGAAAATGGTGGTCGCAAAATCTTCGGCGACAGGAATTCGCGTTTCACGGGAGTCTACTGTATGTATATATAAATATACGTATATAAATATAAATAACGTCGACCTAAAGGAAGGAACAAATGAAACATAACAACTGTGAAACAGTGAAGAAAGTAACATTGCCCGAGAGAGGTAACCGATTAACCCGTAATTATAATTATCACGCTAATGTTAAAATAATTGTGCCGGAAGCGTGAGGTCGCGGAGTTAGCCTAGGCCACGTGCAAGTAACGAACCGCTGCGACGTAAACGCGAACGTGAAGGGACAGACGGTCCATCGCTGTTAGTTCGCCGATTTCGTGCCAATTGTTTTAGAATGGAACTCGAAACTCGCTTCGTAATCGCGTAATACCTTAACCCAAGACCACTTTGTATCTTCTTTTGTACTAGTGCCGCGCCGCGATCCGTTCACGCTGGAACTACCGGGTGTTTCTGTGATTAACCCCTTCAGACCCAGCGCACGTTATAACCGTTAACTGTTTCGCTACTTCGATATCTGATAAAATATTAACGATAGAATCGATAGAAGTTCGAATCGACTTCGTTTTATTCTTCTGCGGAGATGACAAGAGTGTCTTCATTGAGATCTCCATTGGCTCGTATTTTAATTTGTGCATTACCAAATCAAATTATTTGTTAATGTTGTAATAATTTCATTTGTGATTTATGGAGAGACATTTTGACTCATATTGAATTTTATAAACATTACTTGGTGAATGTTTAGGTCGATTTTGATTGACGTGAACTAATTTCCTAGATCTCAGCGATCATCAATCTTTCTAGGAACAATAGCGTGAATTGTGCAATAAATACACCTTTGCTTTGAGTTTATTTGTATTAGAAAAGTAATATACTACCACTATTTTATTCGAAATAATATCGTTGCTAATGATGTATTGAACAGTGTCCATTGTCAGATATGTGAACATCATTTTGTAGAAAAATCAGGTCTGAAGAGGTTAACGCGTAATACTTATAAAAGTTGTAACAATAGATCATTTTCGGTTTCTTCGTGTATTCATTGTAGCATGCAAATGAAACTATTCATTTTTAAAATCATTTCAGATATTTACCGCTTTTAGGATATCAATAATTGCGAAACGAGGAAACCGAAACCCGCCATTTTGTCGGACGCGGTAGTTCTAGCGTTGAGACTTATGCTTTCTGCAATATGGTCGCGCGAAGGTTCGAGCAACGGATGTTGTTAACGTGTTTTTGATGGACGTTGCGGATGTAATCGTGTTTTTCTTATTGTAGACAATTCTTTCGTCGATTATACTTGTTTCGTAATTAGAATAGTCTATTGGATTGTACGATTACTGTTGTTCAGTGTTTAACGTTAATATCAGTGAATTTTTCTAGTGTAAAGTTAGGGTTACCAGATCTTGAAACTGTTATATCGATCTTGAACTCGTTATAACAAGGAGAAAATTGTTTGGTTAATAAACAGAAATAAATCATTAATTTAATAACCAGATAAATTACTCATTCATGATTTGTTGAAGCAAAAGGAAAAATTAAATATATATGAAATCTTAATTTTTGAAACATTGATATTAGTTGTTACTGTCTTATTAAGTGTTCTGGATTACTCTTTCAAAAAGGTGGTAACCCTATCTCAAGTGAATCTCTGTAACGAGTCAACAATGAATGTAAGATGATAAGATATATTTTCGCTGTACTCATCACGAATCGTTGATCGACACGAAATTTTTGTTTCCCGGCAAAAAGTCAACGTTAACATCGACCATCGTGTCCGCACTGATATCAAATTCACGCGTGAAGCGATCGCAGTTAATCCTTCGCGCAACGGAAATATTTTTCGTTCTCCAAGTAACCCGAATCATTACCCTTGCGACCGCGTAACGTCAGTTCCCCCTCTGATTTTTCAGTTCGCAGCGATAAGTTCGCACCGAGATGCCAACTGAAATTTCGTGGAGCAGCAATAGAACCGATTTCTGTAGAAGCCACACAGGAAAATTGTTTTATCCCATTCGCGACGATCGTTGCAACGAATTTCCTAAAACGAGTTCGAAAGTATTCTATTCCGCAGTCGAAGACATCAGATCCGTTTTCTCGAGTTTGTAAATATATAAATGGACGTAAATAAACAAAGTGTTAAAAACTGGACTGTGTATGCGTGTATTATCTGGGGTCGATGTTGTATCCGATATGTACTCGAAATTTTCATGTAGCTGACGCATCCGATTCAACCTTTATTTTACCTTTATTTATTACTGCTAGTAGGTATATCATATTAAAGAAACAATTTATCATTGATTATAATACACCTTATTGACCGGACTTTCCGTCATCGTTATGATTGTTCACTATCGGCGACGAGGGATCATTTCTTTCGAAAGCGTCCGTAATAAAATAATTTCCATTGGTTCTTGTAAGTGTTCTACGGTCAATACAATTTTTCCAATTAAATCTTCGTGTCCCCGGCAGTTCCACAGAAAAATCCTCACGTTCCTCTCCGTGACACTTGGGTATCGTGGTCTAGACTTGATCTTGACCATCAGCAGTCTCTTTGTCCCATCGACTGCCTAGCTGAAGGCTTTGTCCTGATGAGACCTTCACCCTAGAATCCCAACAGTGCTAAGCTACCGGCTCACCGGCGCCTTAGAGGTTTCCCAGGTTGAATGAATCCCAGTTTTCTTTCCGAAGAGCCATAGTCTAGACCTGCAGCCTGTATTTTCACATGGTCATCAATCTCTTCGCATTTTGCACGCATATGCGACAACTTTCGTAAATCTTTAGCAAGAAACTTTCTAGCAAAAAGTTCTATTTGCAAAGTTACGTGATATCTGCTGCTTATTTTCAAAGCGTTGAACCGAAGTTCCAAGCAGATGTTTTCCATCGTGTGCCTTGTAGTTTCGTCCTTGTATGGTGTGATTACTGCTTGTTTTTTGTTTCACACAGACTTTCACCGCGGCGCAGTGCAAATGTCGACTGAATATGTAGATACATAACGTGGCGCGGAGCATTAGCGAAAAACTTGTACATACAGCAATAAGAAAGCTGGCACAACGACACACGAGACGAAAAGAGGTCAATGACGAATGGCCAGGGAAATATAGAGCATGTATATTTAGATGCTGATAGTGCCTTTTCAATGTTTCCTTTTTCCGGCTCGCAGTTTTCATCGATCTCTTCGTTGCCAAATGCATTTCGTTACTTTTAATATTATTTTCGGCAGGTTTTAGCATTTAGCACTATCATTATTCATTATTATTTGTTTTAATATCATGCTTTTTTCAAGCTTTTATTTATAATTTCTTAGAAATAATTGAAAAGTGAACCAAGCTTTATTTGAAATTTCGAAAAATATTCTTCGGAAGGTCGCATTTGCATTATAGATAGTAGAACAATTATAAAAGTGCATGTTTCATTTACTTTGCAAAAAGATTCTAATACTGTATCAATATGGTATTAAGTAGTCCTTAAATAGACCGTTTATTAAATTAGCTGCAGATTTCTTAGGCAACGCGTGCGCGCAAGTCTTGAGAAATCTCGGCAACGTAATTGCAAGGCTGATCGTTTTGATCAGACGTCGATAGCTGCCCTCGAAATGGTCCATTGACTTGCCGCAGAAAAAACATATCGAGCTGCATTAAGAAGTCCAACTTGTTCCATTAATATTCCTACAGCCGTTAATACAAATACGCGCTAATTAAACTTCGTCCCCGACGTCGTGCTCGCTTTCCTCGGAAATTTTCATTCCCGTAATCCTTCATATAATACTTCCCCTTACAATCTTAATTAATAATAAATTCACCAAACGCACGAACGTACGACGAGAAGATTTTCATTTCGCCGTATTCGTTTCCTCCGTTTCGAGTTCCTTCTGCGTGCATTACAGATTGCGCATAAAGATCTAACAAAAAAATGCGATAAACAATACGAATTCGAGAAAAATTTCAAAGCGAATACCATTACAGCTACAATATTCTGAGCGAGACACATTAATTTACGAACACACATTAGCACATATATATTCTCGAAGTATGCATCGAGATCGTCCGCGAACATAAAACGTCAATATGGACATATCAGTTTCCACCGAAGAAATTTCTTAATTAACGCGGTCAATTTACGAGATGTCATTTCGCATTATCACTTTTATGTCGGATCTGTCGACGAGCACCTGTCGATGGAACTCAATAAATATGTTCGCTCATTATATACTCGAGACACTTTAATTCGCGAAACTTTTAAACTAGTTTATCGGAGGTATCTTTAACTCGGACGAAACTAAAACTTTGATTACGTTGAAACCGATAATTCAACGAAATTTGCCGGTGGGCAGGGCTCTATAACGAGTGAAAGTATCGTCGTGTCACTGGCGGAGCTGATATCACGTGCTTTCGCGCTATTCAGAACGCGTAATCCAATGTTAACCCTCGCGGTCGCGTCTGTGGGTTGATTAACAGAACCCCGCGTCATTAATCGTGGCCGTGGTAATTAAGTTAGATAGCTGTACAGCCGCGGGGCTTCTTTGTTCACACGATATATCAAGCGCGCCCGAAATCCTGGGATAACCGAAAAGTACGTGACTCCCATGCGAAAGTAACGAAATTCGTCTTAATGAAATATTCGAACGGAGTAATTTAAACCGGCTGGGTACGCGGAAATTGGAAACAATCGCAAGACATTTTGACGGATTTTTGATAAAACTGTCATTTACCGGAACTCATCTTCTTTCGATATATACGAAGTTCGATACCGGAAATTCATTGATTCGAGAATTTCGAACGTGTGCCTGTTCGAATTCTTCGATAATACGAGAAGAAAATGAGTAGTGTAACAAATAAATATTTTATTTAGACAGAAGTATCGATACTTAGTATGTAAATTGTTACTCGAGCTAATAGATAAATCAGATTAAATGTAAACGAATCATTAAATATTATGCTTCGTAATTAAATGTACGATCAGTAGAGTTTTTAATATATTCGAGACGTAAGTAACGTTTTCCAGATGCATTAAATCAATTTGCTATCATTAATTCGATATCACTGTGATTCTATTCCACGCAACTTCATTACACTATAGAATCGATAAAATCGCGCACAAATGAAACGAGAATTGCACACGCTCGTTTCGCGAGGGGCGTCAATGAAGACCTCCATTTTTACATAACTCTTTTATTTTCTTGCATTATATTAACATAACAATTTTCATGTTTGGTATATGCGATGATAAAACCTTACTTGCGCGGAAGTAACATAGTGAACGGTACGGAGAAAATCGATGATCTACAACAGTTCATGGGGTACATACGAAACATGTACATACGTGTGTTAATGCTCGCCCGAATAAAAACCGGTGCGCGTAGACGTTAATAGTGCAGGAATTGCGACAAAATGAGGTACATCGAAGGAACGTGAATGTTACACAGACGTGTTGCATCTGGTGCGAAACAATTAACACTTAGCTCGTAGGTTCTTCCTCGTCGTGTTAATCCCGAATACCGGAGATCGTCCGCGAGATACCGACGAATGGTAAACGACGGCAAACAATTTACCCATCGAACGGCTCTCCGGCGACGCGTCCATTGAAAGTTTCCGATTCCCCGGGTGGTTCCTCGCGCCAGCCGACCGTTGTACAATTAACACGAGTTACAAGCACCCGTTCGCGACTCTAACTGGCACTAACGTTAAACAATCTAATTTCATTGCGGAATATAAAATACAATTTAACGCTCTTATCCTGTCACGCGATTCGAAAGAATACGAAGAAGAAGAAGAAGAAGTAGAAGAAGAAGAAGAAGGAGAAAAAAGAAAAGGGAAAAAATAAGAAGAAAAAAAAGAAACTTGTAACATCAACCTCTACGTTACGCTGAATAAAATTATGCGTCCTTGTCCTTCGGGACCAAGAACATCTCCACGAGTTTGATCAGGTTCTCGATCCCCTCCAAATAATTTACATCCAACGTGTTCCGGTCCTCGGTGGGGAAGACGTGCGTGAAGTCGATCATGTTCACTCTGACCCAGTTCAGCTTCTCGTCGGATGAGCTGCTCAGCTCGCTCAACAGGGCGTCGTAGTCCTCCTTCATCTGGGCAACGTCGTCGTCGAAATTGTTCCCGTAGGAGTGGGTGCGACACAGCCGGTCCGCCCTGAAGTCCGAGCTGCAGGACTCGCTCCTGTTCATCGCTACTCCCTTGCCGGTCAATTCGCACTCGCTGCTTAGGCTGATGCTGCGCTTTATGTAGTGCACCCTCTCCGCGGCGTGGCCACCGTCGGCCGTCCCGACGGAGCTCGCCGTCGCCGAGTTGCAGGTGCCATCTTCGCTGGCCTCTTTGAACACATTCGTCGCGGCGGCCGGCGCGTGATTGCTCGCGCCGGCGAACGAATTGGCTACGTGACCGGCGGCCCTGTCTTTGTCCGCGTTGTTCAGGTGCAGGTAGTGCCGCAGCCTTTTCGCGTCGTAGGCCACCAACAGCGAGCTGGAATAAAAGCGGAACAGCCGCTGGGTACGAAAGAACAGCATGATCTTCCACAGGAAAGAGAGTAGCTGCACGATCAACTGACGGCAGGGCGGCCTGTCTGGACTTATGTTCAGGAACATTTTCAGCGCTGCGCAGGAAAAAAGGGATCGCTCGATGTAGTCGGTCATGTCAATACCCCGAGCGCGCCGGGATGCGCGAGCTTCGTGGGATCGGGCGAATTGTAATCTGCACGGTGGTTCGCTGGTTTCATGTTTGTTTCATGCTTCGTTCGCTGTCGAGTCGATTAGAAGTCAACGCGGTTTGGTCCGGGGAAGACGAATTGAGAAAATTAACCCTCTGCGGACGAATGTCGACGTTTCGACGAGATGAAATTTTCATATTTGGAAGTATAAGTCGTAGATAAATGATTTAATTACTCGAATAGCAAGAGATCAGCACGTAGTTTTCTATTTCTCTATTGTTCAAGTAATTGATGTATAATTTAGCTTCATCTGTTGATGGTTTTGTGTATTTCCGAGAATCTTCGTCCGCGAAGGGTTAATGGGTTTTAATTATTATTTTCATTACATTTTTGCGCATTAGGTAGCATTGTTTACAATATAGAAATGTTTTCAAATAATAATCGTTTAATTGAGGAAATTGCAGCAATTGAATTTTGGTATTCATCATGGTATTCAACGTGTTAATACATAATCATTGTACGACATATTCTGAAGCTATAAAAAGAAAGGACCTATAAGAAACTACAAAGAACATAATTTATTCCATTCAAATTTAGAAAATCAGGAAGTCTTAAAAAGTGGACTTAACCGCATTGGCTTCTGACTCAATTGATAACGTTGATTGCGAGATATGAATTTTCCAGGTTTGCTTCGTGTTCTCACTATTGGAGGATTTTTGGCAACTTCAAGGATGATAATATCTGGGAGCATTGGAGTTGTTTCTTGATTTTTGTATAAATTTATTCGTTAATATAAGCAAGCGATGATTTAGAGTACGTATAACGTTGAAGGAAATTGCAGGAAATATTTGAGGAACTAAAATAGATGATTGCTATGAAAATTGGGTAATCTGGAATTGGAATTAAAGTAATCATCGTAGTTTCTAATTGATATTGCTGGAAGTTCCGGTGAAATCAATAGTTACATTTCAGTGGTCGATTTGGAATTGTAGTCAGATTACAGTTTGCCCGATTCCGAACAGAGGTTTATTCGACGTGTAAAAATAAGTTAATGGAAGAGAAAGATGAAACTTGTCTGTGGGAAGCTTCGTTTCCGAGGAAATCGAGTTTAAAATATTGGGCACACGCTCCAGTGAGTGGTAATCAGTTAACGTGTCCGTTCGGGACTTGCTGTTTCTACTGGTTATAGATATACGCGCGTTTGTCCGTTGAATTTTCGAATTTGGATTCCTCGAGGACAAAGACTCGAAAAACATGTTGTTATCTTTCTTATCTTATTTCTTTAACATAGAATAGCCTCTTGTTCTTGTTGTAAAACTCATCCTGGCGCACTCTGCATAGAAAGTTCTCAAAGTACTTAAAACTCCTCGAAGTTTTTACATTATCTAAAGTACCGCTAATAATTATTCGACCGTTGATAGTTTTATGCTTCTTCATTCGAGTTAAATGCCACTGTATCGCGGTTACTGTCAACATAAACGACTATGTATTCAAATAATTGATATATTGGTAGTCACTGACGCAACGCTGTCATCTTAAATTCTGCGGCTGATTGCCGTTGACGTAGCTCTGTGTCGCTTTATAGTTATCACGAGTTACCCGCAATTTAGAAACAATCGATGTGGTCACATGCATCTCATCAAATATTTAGTGTCGAGTTTATGCACATGAAATTCGATGAGAAAATCATTTTTTAAATGTGTATCGCTACGGTATAGAATGGTTTACAATTTTTGGTATGAATATTCGATTTTATTGTAAATATTTCTATCAACATTCTATCTTCTAAACGTCTCATGCCGTTCGAATAATTATGAGCAGCACTACACTTATGTAACTATCGGCATCTTAGGCATCTATTTATATTATGACTATTATGCGGATGATCATGCAAATAGATTTTCAGAGATTAGTTTATGGCAGCTGGAATTAAACAGAAACTTGTTTCTCTCGTCGAGGACTATATTAAATTCGGAATTAAATAAAAGTTCCTTGTAATTTTATAATTATTGTTCTTGTGATTCGATGTTTATTGAAAGTAGATATGCAAAGTATGCAGTGTAATTACAACTAGAGAGATGTAAATAGTAAGTGATGAATATAGATTAGTCCGTTTTTAACTAAAACTCATCGCTCCCAAGAAAATTTTTTAGTAAGTCTGATTATAACTAGCAATTTCTACTTATATTCGTGAATACGATCGAACGTGGCATTTACGATTACAAAATAATAATCATAAAAATCGTAAGATTAACGAGAAACAAATTTCTCTACACAAAATACCAGCTTAAAATAATTAGGGGGTTGTTATTCAGTTAAGTGAGTTGATTCAATTGGAAAATTCCGAAAATATGAAATTTCTTCAATGAAGCTAAGATCAAGTACGCGTCAGTCCAAAACATTTTGAACTTTACATAAATCCTTTCTCACGTTTCGATTTCCAAAAGAAACTTCACTATAATTAAAAAAAAACTCCGTACACAAACGTTTCCTAAAAAATTATAAAAATACAAACGTTTCCTCAAAAATCATAGAAATATAAACATTTGTTAAATCAACAGGTTCGCTACCAGCGTGTTATTTTCCAAGTTTCTGATAGCGTATCTTAACAAATTTAGAAACGAACTTCCTATCAGACTAAAACAACACATCCGATTGCTGGAAGTCCTTGGTCTGGACATATTTACATTTTTTCAGTTCGCGAGGAACAATTGATATTGTTACTTCGGCAGTGCAAGTGTTGAATGAAAGTGAACAAGAACCTGTAGCTGTGCGAGTACACAAGTATACGCGAACGTCGCGTTATTCCCCGAATGCAATTTCCGAATCCAATCTTCTTTTATTAAAATATATCGCGAATGTGCAACGCGCGGGCTTCGGACCAAATTTCCTATCCACAGTCCAGCGACACATATATACGTCAATTTGAAAAATTGTTTATTTTATATATCAGTCTGAGATACAAAGAGAGTTTCTCATAAGGAGAGGAGCAGACATAAAAATCTGTTTTTGAATGAAACCTTGTGCACGTTGTAGTATTTGCATATCTAAAAATGGAAAACCCTCATGGCTTTTTCGATAATGGTCCTCCTTTCGAAAGAAGTGAGTTTTAAGTTTGTATATTACTGTAATAAGACGATAAATAAAATTACAGTAATAAAATACGAGTTATTTAGAGATTATCATTCAGAGGAAAACAAAGAATAGGAGAAACAACAGAATTACAAGTCATATTCAGTATAAAAATTTGAAACTCAGCTTTTTCGAAAATGGAGGATCATTGTCGAAAAAGCCATGAGTTTTTCATTTCTAAATATATAATTGTCGGGCCTGGTAGCGAACGCGTTGACATTTAACGGAAGCAAATTAATTTCAGAAATTTTATTCGATATTTGTCTGAAAATTAACGTTAGAGAAACTTCTGAGCATTGTACAAGTATTAAAATTACAATTATACAGCGTCAATTGTGTCTGATGTATTCACTTCTCAATCAGAGTGATGTTAACCATGTTACTTGATCCTAACTTGAGTGTACTCTTAGGTTTCCCGTTAATAATGGCGAAATCTAGTCCGTCAAACTTTAGTTCGACAAGTACGGTTCAAACATTCCCACAACTCCTAAAGCGTTTGTGCTAACAAGGAAACCACTTCAGCTGAGGATCATCGATTTCGACGTGCTTTTATATAATAATCGCAAACAAGTAAACAATAGCGATTGACAATTTAAACACGTGTCATTATTTTCCTGGAAACTTTAACATCTATGTTATTGCTAAAACAGTTTCATCAATCTTGAACTATTTAACTAATTTTTAAAAATAAAACAATCAGATAAGTCTACTAGTTTTTTGGTAAAAATGTTATATGTAACACAGCACAAGAACGTTGTTTTTCATATCATAAATTTTCATCACCGAATATGAATTCCCTTTTTTATACTTCTATTAATATGAACTCTAACTATTTTGAGCAGTACTAACATTTGGAAACAGCACATTGAACATAAATGAAAAGATTGTTATCTTGAAAATAACATGTTTATCATTACTATGGATTAACCTTTTCTATTAAAAAGTGTTAATTAGATAATTATTCATTTCACTTATATATTAATTTTCTAAGTTCTAAATAACTATTTTGACCAGCATTTGGTAACAGCACACTGAATATAAATTAGAATATAAATGAAAAGATTATTATCTTGAAAATTACATGTTTATCAGTACTTAATACGGATTAATCTTTTGTATGAAAAAAAATGTTAATGAAATAATTATTCACTTCATCTATATATTAATTAATTTCTAAGTAATGAAGCAGTTGAAACTAATAATATACCTTCCACAACACCCTTGGCGTCAAGGGTTTTGCCATAATGTTTGCCGAACTTCTTAATCAATCCAGATGGTAGGCAATAAACTTGAAATCCAGTTATACAAAATCCGTAAGTGCGTTTGGATTCGGCGTACTTTAATTCTTCGGTGGCCCTTTTTTGCGGCGTGGCCAAAGGATCCCAGGTTCGTTTACCTATCTTTATATCCATCACGCACGGTTCCGCCATACCGTCAATAATATCTTTCAGCGTAAGGAATGTTACTCCTTAAATATCATAGAAATAAAGAAATGTTAAAAATCGTTCGGGAAATGAATTTTGAAAAATGAACAAAAAAAATCAATTGTAACTCGAGCACTATCTAGCCCGCAAATAGTTGCCTCTACTAGTTCGTAATCCATGCAGTCTTAACCCCTCAGGTCCGTGCAGTGCAGTCAATTAAAAATATTGACGATCGATAATAAATTTTCATTTTTTGATAAATAAAAACTTATTAGCTGATGGTATGCGATCGCAAATTACCTGACTCGTACGTATCGACCTTTCGAAGGTTCGCTTTAAAATTATTTCTAACAATCGGAAATAAATTCACGCAAGTGAACAGTACACCATTCGAATAAGGAATAAGGTTGTAAATTGCGTCGGGTCTAAATAGGTGAAACATATTAGAATATATTAACAGAATTTAACAGGTACGAAAGTATATTGAAAAATATTACACATGCATTTTTTTATTATTTCCAATGTACAGTTCAAGAGGATGAGACACACACCCCTTTCGACGTTTGTAACAGTTGTACGTGATCCCAAAGAATTTTATACAAAATATCGAGTTTTATTGTCTTTATTGTTGCTTATAATAATTCAATGAAGCTATTGCATTACCTATAATAATGCAATATGTTTGCATTGGGTGGTGCCACGAAGCAAAGTACTAATACCATTCTAGCTTAAAATGTGTTAATACTTATATTAATATCCACTTAAGCGTATGTAATTAAAAATTTCTCATTACACTTTGAACGTTCGTCTCTCATTATGATGGATAGATGTATGCAGAGTCTTTGGAGCAATGAAACATGTACACTTATCACAAGATTCTCGGCGTTTTCTTTTCTTACGTCTCGGAGGAAGACGAAAGGATATCAGACAACGAAACTTCCCGAATTTCGTACGAATTGAAATGTAAAATCGAATAAAACTTTCCAAAGAAACACCTTTCGATTCAGTCAAACATATTGAAATTGATCGTTCGATTGTTTCAACCTCTTTATCCAATCATTAAACGAACAAAAAAAATGCATGCATTAATTCGAGGTGATTCCGTCTAATTTGTACGTAAATTTATTAAATTCTTACGCTGTTATTTATTCCCATGCAGAATGGTCCACTTAAGAATCTTACGCGAGACGTTCGAACCGATTTCCTTCACAAACCAAATTCCCAACCGAGGTACATCAATTTTTATTTCAATCATCGACATTGTTACATCTACTATTTGTTATGGAATCGTTACTAACAATTATCATCGGTGACAAATCGTTTTCCATCTCGTTTAAAACAAGATATCTCGTAACGTAGTCGACTGATCGTGAATCAGACTGCATGTGAACTGAATATAATATACTTTTCTCAGAACAGACGTAGAAAATAATACAAGAAGTGATATCTAGATGAAATCAACATGGAAAATTTGATATCTTACGTTTGCCAAATATTTGTAACTCTGTCGTGCCGTAATATTTTGGCACATAATTCTTCAACTGCAACATAACAGGATCTTCTGATTCCTCTAAGCTCTCATAGAATGCGATCTCCCTTTTACCAAGTAATGGTTTGACAACTGGTTTTAGCACCCGACCATCCGGTCTACGTAACATACCTACAACATTTTAAGCGACAAACTTCTTATAACATCGGTGAAACCGAAACGCAGCGTTGCCTCGGAAATCATGCTACTCGTGACTACGAAAATCGAGTAATGGCTCGTGAAATATATTACTTCCCGAAATTTCTAAGCGCTATAAAACTTGTCCGATGTTAAAATTATTATCGACGTAATATAAAATATTAACCCATAAACGGTCATGTGTATCTATTTAAAAATATCTATTTTATTAAGGGCTACACCGATTTCATCAAATTCATCATTTTTAAATATATAAATATTCGTCTTTTAGATGGGAGTTCGTGTTAATGATCAAGATTGATTAAGTATTAAATAATACGATTAGTTTATTACTGATATTCTTGTGGAAACTACGCGTAGCTCGAATTACAAAGTAACAGTGGAAAGTATAGAAATATTGCGAATAAAATTGAATATTATAAAATACGCATGCGACATTCAAAGAAACGTCAAGGAAAAAATTTAGAATTCAATTGCCTCGGTTAAGAAGCGAATGAAAAAAGTTGCAGGGGACGCGAAGGAAAGAATACTCGTAGGAGATGGGATTCTGCAAAGGTAAATTCAGAGTCGAAGGTCGAGATAGCGCAGAATTAGCTGAAACTAGAAGCAACCAAGTCCAAAATGCAGATTCAATTTAACGGTATAAAGAAGGTCAATGTTAACGTAAGATATAAATATGCAGTCTGCAGTGGTATCTAAGAATACTTAAGGAAGGATGGTGTGAAAGACAGTCAGAGCTTAATAACTAGATTACGGATCTTTAAGCAAAATTATATTAAAGCGATGTGCAAGGAGGGTTTTATGGAAATGCAAAGAAACGAGCAATTTTTCAAACATTTAAAAGCTTCAAATTTTTAACGAAAGCGGGTATATATGTAACAGTGTAAATATAGGTGAGGAATATTCTCAAGAGCGCGAATCAAATTGTTATATTCATTCGATAAACCACTTTCGTTACATCTGTCTGATCATTTTATAACGAGTGCAGTACTTCTCAGATTTTTCTAGCTCAACAGTGCAAAAAAGGTTGTACGGGTACTTTAAACTCTGTTTAATAAAAAGAAAAGAACAATACTTGTAGATACAGAAAGACGTAAGAGATATAATATCAAAATTCCGAATTGATTAGATAAATAATTTCCCAGCAGTCGTAGGACAAAGTTTGTAAAATTGAAGTAGAGCGTTCAAAATTGTGATAGTTATTTATCCGAGAAACGTCAGGGTGAGCTGATAGAAACGCGTCAACGCGTTTCATCGAAAGTCGTTATCGATATCATTGTTTTTACTTTTCGTTCGACACTTTGAGAATGCAATCTGAAGCGGTTGAAATTTAAGATTTTTCATGTTTTTTCGTTTTCACTCTGAAGAATCGAAGTTGATAAATTCAATCGAATAAATTTATCGTCTCGTTTCGGATTCCACTGTTTGTTTAACGTTCTTGCTACATTTTTCGTTTACATTTATTTTGTAATCCTTACATGACACGGTTTTATATTTACTTTGCAAGAACTACGACAAACAAATATGGAAGAAGCGCGACGTGAGAAATTGGTCGTGTTGCATGCGTGTTACAGGTACAATGAGAGAATTTCGTTACGGCATGATTAGTAATAATTAATAATAACAGCACTTCAACTTGCATTTGACGCACTGACGTTGACTGTATTCAGCTACACGGTTTATTCAAACTCGCTGATTGCTCATCAATTCTCGTGCAACACGTGCACTAGCGCCATTTAACGTTCGGAAAGATTAATGTTTAGAATGCACGAATTGAGTAACAACCTCTCAAATTATTTAAAGTACACGTACACGCGGCACAATGTTCAGGTTACTTGGATTGTGATCCAATTAATCATTTACTGGACTTATTTTAGTGAAAATTGTTTTGCCAGAATGAAGTTCAAATACTTGACCTATAGATTTTCCATAGATTGACCTTTCTCAATGGTAATTAATCAGTGGAGCTATTGAATATATTAAAATTTATCTTAATAAAAGCAAATCGATTTCGAGTTACAAAATTATTCCTTGGACTAACAAATTTTTACTAATAAAGACAAAAACGAATGCAGCATTTTGCAAGTAAAATGCAAGATATATTTGTAATAATGATACATATTATTGGAAATACCACTCGGGGTTTCTAAATGACCAATAGTTTAATGTCGATTTTAACAGAGAAATGTCGCTAAATACGGAGAAAAATAAAAGCGAATTCTTTCGTGCATTCTTTACTTAAGACGTTCACACGTTGTTCGGCAATCCCTTTTAAGTGCCGGACCACAGGCGCAGTTGTTTGATAAATCGCGTAACGAGCTATAGCCAGAACATACTGGCTGCGTTATGTACATAGTGTACACTTCCGGAGTATAAATAGTTCAAACACGTTCAATTTTCTTATTTGAAGATCACCATGTCTTACATCATCGAACCGTTTAACAACAAAAAAAAAGGTTACATAGGAAAATGTAGATTAAACGCAGGATTACTTTTATTACCTAAAATGACTAAATCTCGATAAGAGAATCAAAAATAAATTTTTATGGGCTGACTTAAACGATACAATTCACTTGCCAATAGTTCCCATTGATAAGTGACGCTTTGTATACTGTTAGTGTATTTCGATGAGCGTATATGGATTACTAAACAGCGATACATGGCTAGTCTTAAGAATGTTCTTAGCCGACTGAAGTAGCGTTCGAGGATTAAAAAATTAATCCTGGGACTTTCTCTATCTAAGATAAAATACATCCATTTATACTACATTTACAAGAAAAATAACAAAATTCTATTTTCGTTTCGATAACGCACAAGAACTTGGCTTTGGTTTCATGCAATTCCATCGAGTTTATTTTTCTGCGCTTAATAATTAACGAAGTGACAAAGGGAAACTCATCGTACGAAACGATAAGACCGCGTTTCGCATTGGTAAAAAGCACGTACACTCCTATTCGACAAAAGGGAAAATGGTTGTCATGCAAACGTATTATTTTATTTACAAAAACTCGCGAAACAACAGAAGCTAAGCAGCGAATTAATTACGACCACGCTTATAAATAAACATGACAGTATGCAATGAGACAAGCGTCGTCAAATGTACAAGCAGAAAATGTGTTATCCATTAACGATCAAACCACACCTTCGACTTAAAAAATGAAGCGATATTTCTGCGAAGCAATATTATCTAGAATTTTCGTTGGTCATCGATTGTTCGACTGAGACTCCCGTGCGCATAGAAAATTTACACGACGAAATTATCGGATCCAGACACGAACAATCGACAACATAAGCCGTTAAACCCGAGACTGGTAACTTCTAGAAACTTCCGGTCCCTATCAACTGTATACCGAAGGCGAATAGACACCGGACGCGAGCCGCGTGTTACGTGTCAGTATTATTTTCTGATCGGAGACGTTTCGCCGAACCGGACCTCTGATTAACTTCTTCTTTTAGGCCAAGACTACACTGGCCTACTGAAGTAAGAACAGTTTATTTCAATTCAGCCGATTACATGATCGCGGAACACGCTGTGACTATCCTTTCTTCTATTCTTAACATGAAGCAAAGGATCCATTCTTGAATTAACTCCAGAATGAAACTATAGGATGACTCGAAATGACTCATTCCTCGTTTCTTCTATTACAATTACTAAAAAGGTACAGACACCTCATTGAAAAATGATTAACCCTTTGCACTCGGAATTTTCTCCTTAGAAATGATTAACATTTTTTGACGAGGCGAAGACGATATTCCTTGAAACTAACTCGAAGGCGAAGTACATTGAACAAAGCTATTTTATTCCAATATTTCACGTATCATGGTATTGTACAAAGTTCAACATTAAATATCAAATTTTATAGTTTTCACGTCAAATCAAATGGCGACTGAGAGTCGCCTACTCTCAGTAAGCGGGTCAAATTGACCCATTCCTGAATTCTCCTTCCCCAATCATTAAAAAGATAACAGATGCTTCTTTGCAAAATTACTAAATCGATGCAGTAATACACGCATTGAATCATAAGTCAATTGAAATATCAATAGCTGCATTTTTAAAGTTCCTATAGACAAATTTGAAAATGTCAATTCGACTGCTCGGTAGTTCTAGTGTTAAAGTGTCTATACCTTCGCAGTAATTCTAAAAGAAGAAATCAGAAATTAGTCATTTTAATCTACTGGGTAATTGTAGTATTAAAATCCTGGTAGCATGTCCATCCAATGAAGGCTCTACTTGACAAGGAAAACGCGTCGCGCGTGGAACGGCCGTGTAGTCCTGGCCTTAGACTCGTAAGCGTTCGGATTTTCGATCGGTTGTGTGCTTACCAATAGTGCGTCGTTTGTCGTTGGACGGATGTCCGGCCACTTGGGTCTCGAGCAGACTGATGGCATCGTGAAACCCGCAATCGGACGAGATCTCGCCGAATTCCGTGCCTGGCACCTTGTCCAGATGGCATAGGGTTTTGTCGGTCTGCTGGTCTAAAGTCGTCATCGTTATTTCGCTCTCTGTGTGTGTATGTATGTGTGGCGCGCAGTAATTAACTTCTGCAATTAAAGAGTTGCACCGTTCGCAAAGATCTTATCTTCGTTGCGAACCCCGCCTCCACCGTCGACGGTTACACATGGAAGCTTATTCTAATTGTCTCCGGCCGGTTTTTATTTCCGTCTACAAATACAAATATATCAATTGATAAAGAAATTTGAATGGACGACAGGCGTGCTGGATTATGATTAAAGACATAATACGGTTGCAATTATATCGTAACCGAACGTTGCGATTATCATTGACGAGCGTATAATGACGTGACATCGGCCACGGGGCGTCCTGATTATGCGTATCTCCAAAAGACCCTCCTCCTTTCCGCGTATCGTAAATCCGCGCGATACTCGGCGAGACACGTTAGTGTTGGTAAAACAGAAATGGCAACGCGAAAGGGAACATGGATAATAATTCTTAATGTTCGCTCGACTACGATTAAGGGAATGACGTTTAACTGCGTTGGAAATGGTGTGTCGTTGAACGACTGCATCGAAATAATAAAATAGTTGAAAATTTGTCGAATAAATAAATATTGATCGTCCGGTTCGTTTACACGGTGGGAATGGATAAATTGTGTGCTCAAACGAAATACTTCCGAGGACACAAGCATACTAATCGCTATGAATTTTCAAATATTTTTGGTTGAACTTCAGTGTTACCTTCAGTAGAAAATATGCGAATGCATTTTTCATAAGAGCTATGTTTTCACCGTGTTTCGTAATTAATTATGGACGAACGTTGAAAGGTTCACCATTTGCCGTTTCGTTAACGCTATTCGTAAAGAGAATGTTACCTTCGATTAATCCTTTCCGCTCGTACATCCGCATTCTTTAATTTTGCATCGATTCTATGTCACAGGTAAATTCACATCACACTGAATTATAATATCGGTGCAGTCTCTCGTTGCTCATACAGGCGAACAAACGTCGAGGTAAATTAAAATGAACATTTCCCGCGGATATTTTCAAACGTCCCCGTTACAATGCTCGCTTATAGCGGTAGAGGGCACAATGTGTTTGTGGAAAATTGAATGTTCTAAATTCGCGCTTTTACCAACAAATCGTGTTGTTCGTCGGTCTTTTGAAAATATAATATTAGCAAGGACAATACTAAATGAGAGCGAAATTAAACAATTCTCTACCTGATTAGCTACGGCTACAAGGTGCTAACATACGTGTTCGTTAATTAGCATGAAGAAACTTCGTAACATTTTAGGAAACGAGCTTTCCGAGCAATCGAAAGAATCATAAAATGCGACTCATACGAGGCATACGTACATTTATTGGATATAACAGGAGAATAATTTATTAGCCACTCTTCTTTTACAAATGTTACATCTATGACATTTTACATGCCTATCTATTATTATAACCTATACGATAACCAGTCCCTTCACAACAACACAGTGCAACGTGCTCCCGATCGTAACACTTTCACGTATACAATCCCGTTCGAAGCCGTCCGTATATTAGGCGGAACAAAGATTATGTTCACGACTTTAAACTTCACATAATTCTGAATGATCACACGTCCTTCCACTAGACGTCTTCCTACTTTTCTATAGCTGTCTCTTTCGTCACACTCCAAAGATTCTTCTAGATTCCACCAGGGGGCCAATGTTGTTTTTATGAAATGAAAATCGTTCCCGCCACGTTCTTACAATCAATCCGAAAGTCACGTATTCAGATTGGAAACCATAATTGCGAACCCTGGTTTGTTTTGACAGGTGTTGTGATTCTGATTCTTTTTTCACTTTGTTCTTTCGTTTGATTATATCATAACCTAGTTTCCCAATTTAATAACAATACTTTGTTAACCGTACAGTGGATAGAATTGTTACACATTTTTTAAACGCACTTGTGGTATTGTCAGCATGTTGAAATCGGAAATGAGAAGAAACATTTCCGTTTGATACTTTCTTTAAATATTTATGCATCTTTGTTTGACAACAAACTTACATCCATTATTACAGGTATGTATATAACATATAAATGACAATATAGATAGGACTATCATAAATTTATGTTTCATTTAAAATTTTGTTTACTTTTTTTAATCTCATTTTAAGTTAAAGTAAATGTTAATAGGTAAAAGGGAATCAGTATATACAAAAGAAATATCAATTATTATTAAAAAAATAATTTATTTTATTTTCCATATATATCTTATCTAGGATAAGGTCATATAATATGTGTATAATTAATACTTATCATCTTATCAACCATATTTTAACATTACACTTATAGATAAGTTATATGTAAGTTTTTTCTGCTGTTCAATTTGCATAAAAGTGCCTTATTAAGCTGTCCATTTTAAACACCTTGTATCAAGATGAGTGCCTAAGCATTTCATACTGCAATATCTAGCACCGCAAGGAATACATGTATAGTTACTAGGAAATCCACAAACTGCACAAAATTGACGTTCAGGAAAACGAGATGGCGGTGCTTGAGCAGAGGCATAGTTAGGAGGATTGGGATTAACATTAAGATCTTCTTCTACTAATTGAGCAAAAGTTTTTCGAAAACGTTGCTTATAATATTCTGCTGATCTAGTTTTCTTCTTTCTGCCACCTCTATTATCTAATGTTTCTTGAAATTTTGGAACTTTCTTACTCATTACTGAAACAAATAAAACAATCCATACTTCATATACAACATTGAAAGAAATAAAATTTTGTGCAGTATTTATAATATACTCGTACCTAAGTCAGCATGAGGATCATCATGAAAATTGTCTTGTTCCAAAGCTTCCAGTGCTTTCTTTTGCCTACGTTTACGAGCAGCTTCATCAAGCACTCTTTTCTGATATGCATCTTTTATTCTACCAGATTCTCGTGCAGCCATAATTAGTTATTTCATATATATCTTTAGATTTAAATCAAATTAGAGAAGAAATATTTGTTGTCTAATATTTATATTCCTTTTTCTGCTAAAGGAAACGATATTTGATCCATAAGATCATCTACTTTCCCTTGCAACGTATCTAAAATATCAGTAGAAATAAACAAATGCCTCTCATCTAAATCTTGAATTATAAATTTCCGACCTAATGCAAAAGTTTCATCCAAGTGTAAAAGAAATTCCTTCATAGCTGCATCGCTGTAAATATAATAAATAAGTATTCATTTAGTGTCTTTTTATTGTATTTTATTTTATTTTTATTATCACAGACAAAATGTCAAAACGAAAAGGAGTATCTTTAGATGAGAAACGTGCAAGAATGCTTCAAATATTTTACGAAAAGAAAGAATTTTTTACTTTAAAAGAATTGGAAAAAATTGCACCAAAAGAGAAGGGCATTGTAGTGCAATCTGTGAAAGATATTCTTCAAGCATTAGTTGATGACGGATTAGTGAGGTCAGAGAAAATTGGTACTTCTGTATATTTTTGGACATTTCCAGGGTAAGGATAAGACTTACATTTTTTATCACAAATATAATTAAGATATTTTACAAGAGAAGTGATAAAGATTATATTATTCAGACAAAATATAACTGCTATAGAACAAAGAATATCCGAAGCTTCCAAAAAAATAGTGGAAGCAGAATTTAAGCTTCAAAAATTAAAAGAGCTTTGTAGCAAAGAACAGGTAATAAAAATAATATAATAGAAAAAGTATTTAAGCAAATTCTAATTATATATAATACTAATGCTTCATAAATATATATTGAAAGTTTATTCTAGAACATAAAGGTCAAATAAAACATAACAAAATATAAAAATAAACTTGATATAATTCATTATATATTTATACTTATATATGTATATTTTATATCATTAAAATAAAATGTATAGATAGGAAAAGAAAATACAGAGGAAAGACAAATTCTGCTACATGAATTAGAAGAGCTCAAGGAACAGGAGAATCAATTGAAGATACAAGTTGCTAAATTCAGTGACTCTGATCCAGAAGTTACAGCTAAACTCAGTAAAAAAGCACAGGTATGAAATTATTAAAAAATATGTTTACACAAATAAAAGTGCATATATTTTATTTTATAGGAATATAAAGATGCTGCCAATGTATGGACAGACAATATTTTTGCTCTTCAAAGTTGGTGCAAAAATAAGTTTGACATTCCAGAAAAAAGTCTTAATAAACAATTCAATATTCCTGATGATTTAGATTATAAAGAATGAAAAAGTAATTTAATTCATGTTTAATATACATACCATTCAACCAAAATTCCTTTTGTGACATTTACCATGACTTTTTCTCTTCTGTGTTTTCAAAAAAGAAAAAGCGAGAAGTTTCCTTGTGTATTTGATATTCTTTCAATGCAAACATTGCATTGCCATAGACTTTATTCATCGAACATAACTAGACAAGACAATCAATATGGTTTAGTGCATTGTAAACTCAATTTAGTAGACATTACTTATCGATAGAGGCACTAGTGACATCATCGACAAGGTATAGGATAGCTGGCCACGTGATTAAGTAATTAATAGACAACAATCAACATTTTTACCATGAGATCTGATACGTATACTACATGCATGCATGTGTATTTTTAACTCGCAAAGAGAACCCTTTATTTTTATCAATTTTGCCAACTTTAATCGTCGATTCGAATGGAATTCTCAAACTCGCCACTTTTAATCGTAGAGAACATATCAGAACACTGCTTTTTTTACACAATCGGTATTTCAGTCTACCGGACACGAAGTACCATAAGATGTCCAGTCTATCTTGTTTCTCGTCGATGGTGACATAGTTGTTTCATGGAACAGTTTAGAATAGACTACGATACCTACTAGCAATAGCTATTGTGTTACTAGATTTCTCAGTACCATAGGCAAAGTACAAGATAGATTTAACATATAATGTACAGCTTTACCGATCTAAAATTAGAGAATTCTAGAACCTTATTACTATTTTAAAATTACATACTACGTTCTCAATAATAAAGTATAGATCTGTTGGAAATAAACACATATTTCAATTTAAATATTGGTATTAGCGTTTTAATAACATAGCTGTGAAAATGTCTCCAATAAATTATCATCACCTATTCACAATTTTCAATTTATCATTTTTCCAAAAATCGGGGAACCGTTAAAATCCCTAGCTTTTAAAACCTGGGTATTATAAAACCCATAAGATGTGAAACCCTATCTAATATCTGTAACAATATTTTTATTTGCAAACTGCTGTAATTTTGCATATAGAAAATAGTATTTAATGTTTTCCATTTAATCTGTTGAGATAAATTATTTATATAAGTGTTTTTAACAACAGTATGTAATGAATTATACAGAAAGATGTGTCCTAATAATTACGTATGGATTTTGCAAAAATGATTTTACCAATCAGAAGTAGCAATTTCCTGTTACACTTGAACGTCATCTAGCGATGCGTTTCATACTACTTTGCGAATTGCGTCAGCCATTGAAATACCCTGAAATGTGTCTCAGAGGAAGTCAGTGGTTATACATCGATCGAAGCATCTATTCACTATTGACCTGCAGACGCCTTCGATAGTACTGTGCACGCGCGAGTTCTGCTGAATTAAAGTAAGTTCGATTTTCTCATTCATTAAAATGTTTATCAATAAATTCGATCCTTAAATACATTAAACTAAAATTTTCATTCACTAAAATTTAATCGAATGTGTGTAAATATTTGAATCGAGTAGTTACACGTTTTAACGTGCATGGCATTTACAACACGTGTAAATGACTCATAATCTTCTAAATGAGCAATTAACAAAATTATAAAATTTCGCATATTTCTATTAAACATGTAAATTACTTTTTTCTTGTGTGGAATATTACGCATTACGTAATACTATCCTTGAGCTAATGCTCTATTATTACTTTTTCGTTAATAAGAACATTCAAACTTTTTTTTGATGAAATTAGATCCTCAATTTATTTCAATTTTAAATCATTTATACATGACTGAAAATTATTCGATCAATTTTGTCAGAAAATATGTGAAATGCTTGTATACAGTGACTATTTTTATCTTACAGAAATATGTCATTTAACGTTATATATTTTTATGAAAATTTATTGCAAGATGTTATATAACATTGTGAATTTATTATCGTAATTAACGTAGCATATTCAGTAGCAGGAATATAATTTTGATAGTATTAATATTGTTATTCCTCGTTACATGATATCGTGTCTATTGTTCATATCGGAAAAAGCGGTAAAAACTATTCTTAATTGGATTAGATTAAAATTTATAAATATACCATTGTAACCATTAGATATATGATTATACTTGACCTTCATACAAACGGTTATGTCAGTGTCATCCCAACGGTATTGAAAGTACAATTTTGTACTTGGCACGGAGTACTAAATATCTTGCTAAACATACAGTTATTTAAATCACTAATCGAATAGCGATCGACAGTTATCTTGCCGCCGTTATCACCTTCTTTCGACACACACATTCAACACGTGAATATCGAGGTGTGTCGAGAATTTTCCAGATTGATATAACATTTTATTTAATTTATTAAATATTACAATTAATTGCTTAATAAATGTGATATGCGAGCGTATATGTGAATAAGATTTACTTATTACGAAACATCGGATTTTTTTTCACGTGCTTTACGCTTATGTAACAAAAGAAGTGTTGAATAGAATGAATTTGAATCCGTATAAAGTTTAAAATAAGAATTCTTAAAAACAACGTACCAATAGTTGTAAGTGTAAAATTATTGTATATGTATAAATTTTTCGTTATTTTGTTTAGAAACAGCTACCATGCCTGTTCCCGCTGGTGACGTAGAAAAAGGCAAAAAGGTAAAAATAACAAATTTAGAAATTAAGAAGTGACATCGTTTCTAATTTTATTTGAATTTCTTTAAAACTTTTATTTAAATAACGTGTTGCTAAATTCCCGCGCGCCATTCCGATCTGATGACGTTAGTACGTGAACATGTCGTACGTATAGTAAACGTCACGTTTTATCATTTTTTTGATAACGTCAGTCCGTAAATTATTTTGTTTTTTTTTTAACAATAATTATGATACGATTATTTACTTCCTCATTTCATAAAAATGACGTAATCCATTTGATTAAGCTTCTTTCTGCATTACATTTTTTTAGCTTTTTGTACAAAGATGTGCTCAGTGCCATACCATTGAAGCTGGTGGTAAACACAAGGTAGGCCCCAATCTCCATGGAATTATTGGAAGGAAAACTGGACAAGCAGCTGGTTACAGTTACACAGATGCCAACAAAGCGAAAGGTTTTATTTTATTATTATTATATGTGATACTGTTATGATTATGATTTTGATATCATATTAAACTATATTTTTACTATTTTAGGTATTACTTGGAATAAGGACACACTGTTTGAATATCTAGAAAATCCAAAGAAGTACATTCCTGGTACAAAAATGGTCTTCGCTGGTTTGAAGAAACCACAAGAACGCGCTGATCTAATTGCGTACATAGAACAAGCTTCAAAGTAAGCTTGAAATATTTTGAAAATGACAAAGCACGCTAAAAGTGTTTAGCAGGTGTTATAGAGGACATTAGTACTATTATCATCTCGAACCTCATAGACATCTTGCTGCACTTCACTCAACTCATTCATCAACACTCCTCAATCTGGTACTCAAGCGTTTGCAAAGTCTGAATAGTGAAAAATTGTTATTATTGATTATAAGTAGACCCATCGTGTTGTAATTACATACATTGACAAGAGTCAGGCTAGAACTGACTAGAATTAGCAGTACTTCTTCATCATTAAAGATATTCTGGTGCTCTCTTGCGGTGGCTGAGCCATACGTATATTGTGCACTATTATTTATTTGTGACTGTACATTGTTCGAGTCGTTTGACAGATTGTTAATCTGTAATGCAACAGTATAAAATACAGATTCGACAATAAATGTATGTTTTCATTTTTTTCTCTATTAACCAAAACCACATTTTTCTAAAATCAAGGGAGCAGCAAAGTACAAAACCTAATAATTAAAAATAAATATTATACTTTAATTTTATTAATTTATAATAATTAAGTATTTGTATAATTTAATTGCTACTCACTATGTGTCAAAGATATTGCGTGTTATGTACAGTTTATATATAAAGAAAAGAAGGAAAATGATAAACTTTGATCAATTACTAAACGAAATTATAATGAAATGATCAGCAAACCTTTTAATTAATTTATTTACAGACAAAGTTCTGTTTTTACAGATTTATATTCATTTATACAAGTAATGAAGAATAGATCTGATAAACGTGAGGAAGGATGCGGTCAAAAAGTGGCAGGAAGTATTGCGTTACTCGTATATTTTGTCCGAAGTTCTACCAAATACTGGGTCATTTAGATTCTGTAATCCGTGAAATCACGTTCGTTTCCTAATCAAAAGTTTTCGTTCAGTTCCGAATTAAAATGCGACGTAATTCCGATATTCCCGAAGGACAAGAGACATCGGGAAGCAATAGTGCAGTGAGAAAAAAAGAAAATTGTTTAAGACTTCGATTATCTCGAGTTCTCAGTTCCGGAAGTCTAAGGAGTCCAAAAAGTCCGTTAAGCGTGTCAAGTTCTCAAAGTTCGACTCCAAGTCACAATAGTCCGTCTCAAAAATCTAGATACTCGTGGCAATCTAGTCGTAACATGGAACACTTAATACCATCTTCATCAGAAAGCGGTTCATCAATTTCGTCTCCAATGTCACCGACAAATACTGATTTCATAAATTCCCCGAGGAAATCAGGCTCCTTCCGAACTTCACCCGTATCGAAATGGTACATTGACGACAGGTAAGTCTCTTTTACAATTAACGCCTTAACATATAACGCTAACTGCATACAGTAAATAATAAGATAAATATTTCCATGCTATTTCTTATGAAACAATAATCGTTTCTATCTACCAACAACTTTCTCTAAATTTCCAACGCGATCATTCGCGAGAGGATTCATAAATCGATCGCTCTATGATCGCACACTAGCGAGACGCTTGACACGAGACATACAAAATTCGGGGAATACATTTTTCAAACAGTAACGTCCCCCGTCCTGTGATCGAGGCAACCGACATTGCCTTGACCGCGATCGCGTTTCGAAATGTTCTTTAAAGTAAAGTCACGTGCTAGAGGAAGAGATTTTACGAGACGAAATGTTAATTCACATGGGAACGGACATGTTTGAAATCGTGGCGGCCGAATATAAATCGGCTAGCCTTCGGGGTAGGTAATCGGTCAAAATAATCTATATGAACATCAGGCGCAAATAAAAACGGAAAAAAATAGATAGGTACTTTGAAGATACATTGAAGCGGACGCACATCGTCGGTGAAGTGCCGATGGGTCGATGCAGCGCCGGCGCTGCGGTACATAACCAAGAAGACGAGTATCCCCACCACCGTTCCATCGTCGAAACGATCGCGCGATATACATCCACTTCTCCATCCAGCGTTTTAGGTGAGAGGGAGATAGGACGTGGCTACCTCTATCTCCCTTTCTATTTCTATCTTACTTCTCGCCTCTGTCCTTTGTCGCACGAATGCATTTCGTCGTGCTCCGCAGAACACTACACGAAGCGCCTCGAACCAGTATAGAACGGTTTGCAGCAAAGTACAGCCGTTTCCTGTTCACCTCTTCGTGAGGAATTAGGAATTGAATAGAATCTGTACAGGTACGTGTGCGAATTCATTTGAGAATTACGTGTCGAAACCGCGCGTTCATCCTTCGTTTTATTCGAAATAGATTTTCTAGTTTTAGTTGTTTTAACGCTAAACCTGGTATATTAGTAAAACAAACGATAGCGATGATCGATGACAGTGACAGCTAAACTGCCGCGCTTCCGCATATGACACGCGATTGTTATTCGATGAGAATTGATAGATGAAACGATCTGTGCGCGCTTAGAGCGATGCTTCCCCGAAAATCGAGACATCCGAGAGTTTGGACTCTTCCAGATCGCTAAGTATTAGAGGAAAAATCGTAACGCGCGGTGTTCGTAGTTAGCTCCTCATGTATTCTGTGATTTTAAAAAATCAATTCTTCCAACGTCCCGTCGTCGCGTGACTCTCGTTTGAAAAATATCCCCCGACGGTTTACGCGTTCGCGTAACGGTCCCCTCGAAATACCGTGACGAAAATCCATTGTGATTTGTAATTCGTCTGCTTTATCAGTGCACACTGTACACGCACGGTGCCCATAGTTACGTCGCGTGACGTTAAATGTTCTTTATCCCGGAGTGTTAATCGAGTACTGTTCTCAGTCGGAACAAACTCCAAGCAGTATTTCAAAATCTCGGTGAATTTGATTATTCAAATGAGTAACTTTCATACGTAACACTAGAACTACCGAGCAAACTTCGAAAATTTCATTAGAAAAACCACAAGCGTGGATTTATTAAGATTTGAATTGGTTTAAATTTCAGCTTATTATTAATCAGCTTCCTTAGTAATTTCCGCAAAAGAAAAAATCATGGGTCATTTTGACATATTTGGTAGTTCTGGTGTTAATATAAAGTATATTACACGTATACATTTCATTTACAATTTTATCATATACAGCCTCTTTTTGTACGTGCTGGTAACATTACTTTGTTATATTCGTTTAAATAAGAAAGATCCTTTTTACATTTGGCTAGCCATTGTTCCAAGTACTCTTTGACGTAACTGCAGTTCAAGCCCTAGTTTCCGAAGGGTTTAAAAATGACCTGAATCAAAGAGCATGATTTAGGGCACAGAATTTCCCGACATCTGTGCCTGTGTGCGCGCAGATGCGTGTACAGCGGCACGAGAAGCGCATACACGTCCGTATTTACACGTCACAGGGACACAGGGGCGCGGAGACATGTATCCGTGACTATACCTATTTGTAGCCTGCATCATCAGGCAAAAAGTAGGTCTAGGGAATCAGCTGACCGAAAGAGGCGCGTGCGCTTCACTAAAACCAGAACACACTTCGAATGCCCACTACACACGCCCACGCTCCGGGATCCGGGAAGAGGGGAATCCTTGAAACGCGGTCTTTGATAAACCCACGAAAAACTATTTTGTAATCAATGGCCTGGACACAGAAGGACACACACGCGCGTGTGTGCGTGGGATGCGCATCACATTTTAAATGCAGGTCATGCGTGTTTGACACGTATAGCTACTCGTCACGTACGTTGTATATACACAGGATTACGAAAGAATGTTGTAACGATATTATTCATCCCCTTATTCCTTTGTTTTCGCCCGCGGACGAATCGAATACGTTAATCGAGCGATTTCCTTTTTTATCACGTGGAAATCAATGTTAACCCTTTGCGGGCGAACGTCGTTTCAGCGAGATGAAATTTTTATGCTAAGAAGACCAAATCGTGAATGAATGATCGAATTACTCAAACAGCAAGGGACCAGCGCGTAGTTCCCTTTTTTTATTGTTTAAGCAATTCATAATTTAGCTTCGTCTGTTGAAGGTTCCTTACATTTCGAAGAATATCCGTCCGAAAAGGGTTAATTTCTTGCGTGCATTGTTCGAAGTAACTGCGGTATTTCATTGAAATTGTTTATTTTCGTTATTTTCTTTGTTAATCGCATTTCATTCCAGCTCTCTCACTAATGATCGTCTAATTGTTTCTAACGGTGGGTTTTTAATGAATTTTTAGTATATTTATGTTGGTTATTGGTCGGGATGTAGATTTATGAATTGTTTGTGTACTTCATGTTGGGATTTGTGTTGTAGTACAAAGATTGGAGTACGTAGATCATGATGTGTGAATGTCATTGCTGAATAATGAACAGCGACGATTGTTTTGCTAGTTATCCAAGTGTTATGTGTCAAACTATGCGGAAGCTTGTTTCTGCAGTCGATCGATAGGGTCATAAAAAAACTTGGCAATTTTTGTCTGATGTTGTACGGTGGTTATATCAGCGCTCTTTGTAGCGAACACGTAATAGATCTACGACCATGACCGAGTGAGCGTTTAACATGAACATAGTCAAGGCTGGTGTGACATTCGCGTAAATGTTGGATTTTTAAATTGCACATTTTATTTTCCACTTGGATTACTTTGTTCTCGAAATTCAATATTAAATCAGTTCCATTTAATGCTTGTCCGCGACCTTTAACACGATGAGTCTCATCAAGGAGTATTTTTATTTTTTATTGATTACTCGATGCCCTTCAAGATAAGCATCGAGGGAAATTATGTTGCTTTAACTGTTAGATTCATAGATGTCTTTTGAGATAAATATTCAAGAAAGCTCAAGTTTATATCTCCCGCGATTTGAAAACTGTCAATTCGGAAATGATAATTTTGCAGATGTAAATTCTCGTTTCCCTGATTTTCTGCATACAATTCCACGGAAGTGGTTTCCGTTACGATAATCAACATCTTTTGCACATCGAATGAGAATATTCTTCGAGTATGGTGGAAAATAATAGTTGCCGCTGCTTTTGTTGCCGCGTATGAGAGTCATTCTGCACTGTCATGATATTCTCTCCCGTTGCGTAAACGGCTTCGAGGCTGCCTTAACAAAAGAGGATTTGCCAGTGAAAGGAATTTCACTGTTAGCCGTGAGAAAAAAAGTAGTACAGTGACATACGAGAAAATCTCATTACTTAACCATACTACACCGGCTTACACGCTGCGCTCATAAAATCATTAGTCTACTTTCCATTTTACCAGCTGGCTTAGCCCAATCCGCGAAGAAGGAGTCATCGAATCTATATTTTATGCGGTACAGTGTCAGGAAATTTTCATATTTCACGAAATTGGAGTATTATTTTTCGATAATAAATTCTCGTAGGGAATATTCTGTATTTTATGAAAAAAAAATTAGAAAGTACAGTCGTAAATTTTTAAGGATATTTTATAGTTAAAATAATTATTACTAGATCATTGTGAAAAAGATAGGGGCGAGGCAAACGAAACCGTTTTTA